TCCTGCATTACCCATTATAAGGAATATACCATAGTTCCCATAGTTTAGAGTCCTTAGGGTCATGCAGGATTTTGTCCATCAACAGTATCCACCAGGCCAGGTGCGGCTGTAGAGAAGTCGAGCCACGGCTGGCTGCAGCACAAGGGTTTGGGTGGTTTAGACTTTGGGGTTAGGGTTTAGGTGTCACACGGGTTGAGGGTGGACTGCTTGCGCTTTTTCGGACGGTTTCGCATCTGCCAGGGTTTAGGGACTAGACATTGGGTTTCAGGGTCTCTTGCACTACCGACTTTGCAGCTTGAAACCGAAAAGATCGCGCGCCGGCGATAGTTTTGGGTTTAAGGGCTCAGGGTTTAGGCTTTAGGGTTCACAGGTGGTTGACTATGAAGATTGGCGGGCTTACGGAAGCTAGGCTCGATGGCGCAGGCTCGAGGGGGTAAGCTCGCAGAGCGCTGTGTGCAACATGGTGACAGGCTGTCAAAGCCCCTAATGTAGGGGCCCCAATCATTAGAATAGGGTGTTGGGGCCCATTAGGCTATAGTTATAATAAGGAACCCCCAAACTAGTATTGGTAATTTTTACGGCCCCAATATGAGCCCAAAACCAAGGCATCGAACCACGAGGCCCTCCATGTAGAAGGGATCAAGGAAGTGCGAACCCCACAACCACGAAGAAAGAGGAAAAGAAACGAGATTCTGAAACCTAACCCTAACCCAAAACCCCTAAACTCTACACCTCTGTAGACCTCTTGCAGGACCAAACAAAGGCCTGTTCGGGCTTCCTATCTTTGTCTGTAGTGGTTGCAAGGAGCTCCGGATGGTCTGGGACAAGGCAAGAGCTCTGCGATTTGTTGTTGGAAGACCTTTTTGCTCTCCGCCCATCCTAGATTGGCCAGCAATCCCGAAGGACGGCAAGGAGTGAGCACGACACGCACGTAGGGTGCATCAGCCTCGAGGATAGCCCCCTTTGCTCAGTCGTCACCTTCATCGAATCAAGACACCCAGACCTCTAAGATTCAGGGTCGAGTTTTAAAGCTTCAATGAGTCAGCAAAGCTTACGGTTGAGTTTTGTTATTCTAGCATCAAGAACCTAGAGTTACATGCCCACTTCAGGGAGATGTCCTGCACGCGCAGTACAACACGTCTGGACGACCGGATTACTGCCTTGGGCAGGCCCAGTCAAGCAGGCGAGGTCCTGACAGCCTGCGCCTGGTACACAGCTTCGGCCTGGGCACAAGCTTTTTTGCTTGTGGCGAAAGAAGACAGCCAGAATTCCGGAAAAAGGAACAGTCAGTGCAGTGTGCACTGCGTCCAAAGAAGCATCGGAACGATCGCATGCCGGAAAATCTGCGGGGTGAAGGTGGCAGAGGCTCCGTGGGAGCAGCTTCGGGTAGCATGCGATTCTCAAGGCTAGGGCTTAGCCCTGCATACCTAGGGATCCGAATCCCTCAAGTCGTCAGCAGCGATACGCCGCTAGGCCCAGGACCCGAGTCCGCAGGCCATGACCCCGAAGCCACCATACTGCAACTTAATGATTAGAATAGGGTTTGGGGGCCCCATGATATTATACTCATAATAAGGAAACCCCAAAATAGTATATGGTGAATTATGCCCAAAAAAACGTCAAACCCCCGATGTCCCCAAACTGAACTCTTGCCCAAGGAGTCAAGGTCTTACTACCGGACCAGCGGCTGGGCCTCTAAAGGAGCAGCCTCCAGAATCTGCACCGGCGGGACTTTGTGAACAAGATTGAACAAGGCTGCAATGATGGGATGGGTACATACATACATACAGACAGGCAGACATACGGACAGACAGACAGACATGTATGTACACGAGTGCATATCTATATAGTCTATGTGCCGTGTCTATGCTTCGTAATATATGCACACACTCATGTATACGTCCACACTTCTACACTACTACTGAAGTCCCAGCAGATCCTTCGTTGTCTGCTCTTCCACGTTCACGCACACACGTTCCACAAGGGCAGTACGAGAGCAAGACTTGCTTTGACTTGCCAACTGGAACACTGCCAATACTTATCACTACTTATAACCCCAATTACGGTACTTATAACCTTACTTATTAAGTCCCATGATCCTGCAAGTATAAGGCTTTAAGGTTTAGGGTTTAGGGAATGCTGCCCCTGGTTCAAGATATCGGGTTGAAGCCTCCTTAGGCCCCAACTCGAAACCCAAACAACGTGCTCTCTTTGGAGGGTGCTCCCTCCGTGTCTAACTTTGCTTCAACATGAGAAGGATTTCCAGGCCGCAAAGCGGAAGCCAACGACAGTTCGTTCTCGTTACGACTAACGTGCGGGTTCATGGTAAAGACTAGCACACAGAGCTTGAATCATTGTATTCTGTGTATGCATGAATTGGCCTTCTGCTTCCTGACCGATGTTCAACCGGAGCTTCGAAGGAACGAAAGTGCTGTGCAGCGTAGCTGGACGAAGTTCAGCAGGTGAGCTCTTAAGGTTTAGTGCTGAGGCTTCCAAGCAAGGCTTTGATCCATGTTGCCGGTGGGGTAGGGTTGAGGGGTTTAGGGTTTGGGGTGTAGGGATCTAGGGTTAAGGGGTTTAGGGTTTAGGGGTTTAGGGGTTTAGGGGTTTAGGGTGCAGGGGAGAGTTACTTCATCGAGCGTAAACTTTTCTCGTGATAGTACGGTACTCGTGCAACATTTAACTTTTACTGAAGTTTGGACGGCTATGGTAACTCTTATGACTGCTATTGCGAGCGCCGCAACACTATGCTAGATCTGCGAGTAATGCAACACTCTGGTGTGCTGCTCGTGCTGCTGTTCTTACTGTTTCTGCCAGCATGAGTAACAAACATAAATACTAATCCTTCACTTTACGCCCAAATCCCGAATCCTAATGCCCTAAACTCTTGTAGATCCCTTATAAAACCTTTTAGGAAGCCTTTGAGGAGCCCTTTCTCAATATTACTGTGTTTGGCAACATCATCCTAAACCGTAAACTCTAAAGCCTGATCCTAAGCCCTAATACAAGTTGTTCTTGGCAACATCCTGCGAACCGACCGTCACCGTGTGCTCCTCGCAGCATCAGCCGAGGCCTGAGCAGCGCGCATGCACTTGAGGAAGGCCCACGGCGCAAGGGTTAATGGTTTAGGGTTTAGGGTTTACGGTTTAGGGGGTGTGTACAGTAGCAGTATGCGCGCGGTGGGTGTGCTTCTTGAGAAATGGGGGCGCACTTACTTATCGCGCGCTTGCGTCAGCATGTAGTCCCGCTCCAACCACCCCAACTATTCTCAAGTAGGGTTTAGGGTTCACCCCCCAAAACCCCCCTCAGGGGGGCGTGTTCCTTCTCTCTGCTTCTTTTCGCAGGTCGACACATAAACGACCACATTTCACAGCAAATTCTTGCTGAGATGGATAGGGCTGGGCAGAGCAAGGCAGGGGCAGGGGCAGGGGAGCGCAGGGCAAAACCCAGGCCAAGACCAAAACACACCAATGGTGAGGGGTTTGGGTTGATGGCTGTCAACCCAGATCCAATAAGTCACATCGAGCGACTAGTGATAGGTGTTGAAGCACTCGGTCGATCTTGTCGTCCACGTTATGCATCCTCGCCTGCACCGCTGGCATGTCGGCGCTTGAACACCCAAACGATTACGGGTTCAGGCTTAAGGGGCTGAAGAGACTATGAAGCCCGCAGCGCAGCCCTAATGCCCAGAAAATGAAAGTTTCCCTGCTCCTTGAGCCCGTAAACTTCAAGCCGCAAAAATCCCAAAGGGAACTTAGACGCCAAGCGCAAAAATGAAAAATTTAGCTGGCTCCTGGGGATTACAGGAACCAAAAGTTAAAAGCTGACTCTAAGTACCCCTCAGAATTGTAAACAACGAGGACGGTCCTTGAACTCCTCTTCCTTCCCAGAGCCTCCAAAACCCCTTAATCAAGGAATATACCTTAAATTATAGTAGGATCCCGAATATGCATTTAAGGTATATTCCTTAATTAAGGGGTTCTGGAGGCTCTGGGTTCTGCCACACTGATACTGAGGTGTCAGACGCATGTCTAGCTTTCTTTGAGCGCTTCGGGAAAAGAGGTCAAGCCCTAAACTCTGAAACCCCAGACCCTAAACCCTATTAAAGACCCTATCCCCTAAACCCTAAACCCCCAAAAGCCCTCTTACCTTCCAAAAGTTCCTCCCTGCTTTCCGGCCGTAACCCTGAAACCTTAAGCCGTGAAACGTAAGACTCTGAAGACCGTCCTGCTGCTCCTCGTGCTGCTTCTGCAATTTCCCTTCCAGATTTTGCAATTTCCCTTCCAGATTTTGCATCTTGTCCTCTTCCCAGGCTGGTAAGGATTTCCCTGAAGAACGTGTAGCTCGCGGCTAGGCCAGGATTTCGAGAGTCCGGGGCTTTGAGGCAGCAGGAACTCCCCAGTTTGGGTTTAGGGATCTAAGGTTTAGGATTTAAGGGTTTGGGCATTATTGTTTAGGGTTTATCTCTCTAGCAACTCGAGCACTCCAGCGTAGTACGTCGGGAATCTGCGGCGTATCGCTCTGCATGCAGGATGAACTCTATACTAAACCCCTCAACCCTAAACCGTTCTGCGGAAGTCCTCGGACTTCGCTACTGAGTGCATGAACTGGCGTAGGGAAGCAGCAACAACCACTACAAACTATCTGTTTCTTGATGACTCTAAACCCTACCTACACCATGAACCCTGAACTCGAAACCCTAAACCCTAAACCAATAATCTTCCTGAGGTCCTTTAGGTCGCTGCGCATACTTCTCAGATCGTCCAAGCCGGTTTCCTTCCAGGCCGATTCGAAGCCGAAACTCCAATCGAGCGACTATGATGAACCTTTCGAGACGAAGTGAACCGGGAACAGATGTCAAACGGTGTTTGCGGTTCGGCGCGTTGCATCACCACTCGAGATGAACTTGCAATGCGTCTGACTCTGGAGCTTGGGAATGAGGCTTAGGGCTTAGGGTTTAGGGTGACATTTCCGAGTTTTGCTGAGCCCTAAACCCCCGATCATTGCAGCGCAGGGTCCGTGCGGACCAGCGCAAAAATCTCACACTCGTCCGCAAAGCGATCACCGAAGAGGCCGAACAGGCTGAGGTTGAGCGTGTGGCGAATGCCTTCAAGGGTTTATGGGCTCTCAGTGAGTTTTACCATTACTTGTATGGGGCGCTCTATGGGTTTTACACACTTCGACGGTTTATGGGTTTTGGGTGTCAGGGTGTTCCATCCTTCGGAAGAGTCCCCTAGACCAACAAATGCAACAAAACCTAAGGACCAGGATATGTGCTACAGGAATTATCCCAAAGTGACGGACACCGACATATCTGAAACCCTCAGACTCAAAGGGAAAAGCTTCGGCTTCGGCCGTTCCGAACCCTAAACCCTAAACCCTGCGGTGGGCCTGTGAGTCGAAAGCCCACGGCTGTCAGCACCAAGACGATCACCGTGAAAGCCAGCAGGCCCATCACAGACCCGGCCAGCAGCACCACACTCGCTACCTCTACTCTTCAATATCCCAACCCAAAAAAGCTGAGGGGCTTTAGAAGGTGGAGCAAGAAACAGAGAGGATTAGGCTGCTGGGTAAGTTGCTGGCATGCCAAGGGCCAAGAACTTGTACTTCGCGACAGGGCTCCAGAGAGCACGCTGAATGAACCGATCAAAGACATTTTTCTGGTAATACGCCCCCGGGACAAAAGGCTCCATAACTATTTTGAGAGGGCTCAGCGCAATCCTTGCCAGCTTCGCAAGGTGCAAGTAAGGGGGCGGAGGCTGGTTGTCATCCGGGGCCAAGAGCTTCCGACCGAGCCATCTGGCCACCATCATCCAAGGCCTACGCTGCACCTCGGGGAGGGTTTCTTGATGACTAGGACATCAATCACAATCGCTGTTATCCTATAATGGTATTGCGACTATTAGTACTCGTTCTGTTTGCCCCGATGTGATATGAAATCTACAAGGACAAAGATTCTGCATAGTGAATCCTTATGAATCCTCTGCAAGCCTGTGGATACCACCCCTTCTCTGGAACATGCTAGTCTAGTCCCGTTCTGAGGGCAATCAGAGGCAACCGCTGTTGAGGTGATGGAACATGAGGCAGACTCGCCCTCCGAAAGTAGCAAATCTAGCAATCAGCATGTATGCTTTTCACAACGAAAATGCTGCTTCGATATCGCAAGGCAGAAACCTACCTAGCAGTTAGTCCAGAATGTAGCGGCATCTAGATCTTAAGTGGAACGTGGCAGCTTTCCGGCTCAAATCTGTTGAGGCATCAAGCTTCAGCAGCATGAAAGCCAACAGAATCTGAGGATGATGGCTGATACTGTTGATGGACAAAATCCTGCATGACCCATTACAAGGAATATACCATAGTCATAGTTCCCATAGTTTAGATTCCTTACGGTCATGCAGGATTTTGTCCGTCAACAGTACCAAATTGGAAAGCTTCTTGTGGAGAACGAGATACGCCTATGGACAAGTGCTGCTGAAGTACTCAGCAGCGGAAAAAGTGCGTGGCGGGGAGGTCACTAGACCGACCCTCTAACGGCCCGTAGAACAAGTCTCACGCCATATTCGGAAGCGAGGCGGATACACCAGCGTAAAATGGAGCGGCCAGTGCATGGGCGGAAAGAAAGCACTTACAAGAACGCAGGGCTCGCCTGTGTGTGCGGGCCTCGGTGGAAACCTTGTCATTGCGTGTGTTCCGAACCACGAGACCCTGAATCCGAACCTCAAAGCTCGGCAGTGTAAACCCCCCACCCACCTCCAGCAGCATACGCGCGCGGGCCTGGACGAAGAGCCCTTGCGCCCGATCTTGCTGCATCTCGTAGTTCTGGCTCAGGATAGCAATCAGCCTTGCTGAGTTCAGGGTTTACCAGTAGGGATTCGGGGCTTGGGATTTACGGAGTCAGGTTGCCTGTAAGGTTCAGCCTTGCTCGCTGCATTCACCCATGGTAAAAGTACCTAACCTGGACCCTTATGTTAATTAGCTTTCGCTGCAAACAGGAAGGTCAAAGATTGCCCGGCACCAGAGTAGCAGGTTCATGAGCAGCACCGTAATGCCAATCCCGGTGCCAAAGAAGCAGAGCTGAAGGTAGATGTAAGGCCTGTAGGGACTGACTGGATCCTCTCCCACAGCTTTCGGGCTGGGGTCCTTCGGCGCCCACTCGCCATCCACAAGCTGAAACGTCGTGTCTTGGCCCTGGTATTCAAAGAGGTCAAAATCACCGAAGATGGCCAATCGAACCGTGTGGAGGAACGAAGAGTAGATGGGGTATTCATCCTCGCCTCGATCCAGATTCGGCTTAGGGCATAAACACTAGATGTCCGCACCATATCATACCTCAACCCCGAACAGAAGGATCCCACTACAGCATGTTACTTCACGACTATCCCTGACCTCGCCTCGGGGATTCATGATCACATAGGCATGGGTTGCACTTGCGACACAGAGGGAGGTGACGAAGAAGAATGCCCCGGTGTCTCGAACGGCTGATAGAATGGGTAGAAGGTAGGGGCCCAGCCACCGCTCTCCACGAAGGCTGTACCTGTAGGCCATACGGGGCTTTGCGTTTTGGGTTCCTCGATATGAAGCCCTCATATGTCCCTTTTCCTTTTTGGGTCCCTGCTATAATACGGCACCTAGTATTTAGGGTACCCAAAAAGGGACCCTAAATTTGACAACTGCCCACATGAGTCGGAGCCAGTACATCGAGCAAAAACCTGGCAAGAAGATCGGCTCCAACTCTCCAACGCTGCAGATATCCATCTGGCGATATATAGCGAAGGACCCTGGGTTCTTGCAAAAGAAAACTGACTTACAGTATCAAATGGAATCATAGGGATATGTAATATGGTTACGTTTCAGGATCTTAAATCATGTCACAAAAGACTTACATCACATGACATGTTGTCTTATGTTGGCAGCTTCGTTTAGGAGTACCCCCAAAACCCTAAAAGCCTAAACCCTGATTCTGGTAGCTTATAAAGTAGCTTTTTTAGGAGTACCTCTAAACCCTAAAAGCCCTAAACCCTGATTATGGTAGCTTGTGGTTGCTTAGATCAGGTTCCTGAACAAAAGCCCAGGGGCCGGCGACCAAGAAGAAGAGATCAACCAGAGTTTCCAAGCTGGGCGCTGGCTGAACAAAGGAGATGTCCTAGGTGTCGAGTTTAAGGCTTAGGGTTTAGGGGTTCGGGGGTTTAAGGCTTTAAAGCTTTAAGGCTCAGGGTTTAGGGTAGGGTTTAGGGTTTAGGGTTCAGGGGCTTAGGGTTTAGGGTTTAGGGGGCTCTCTAGACTATAGGTCGAATTCAGGTTCAGGCTTTAGGATTGAGGGCTCTACATTGATCAATAGGGGAAATGTACCTAAAACTATCCTGAATCGGTGCCTAGTATCTTCATCACCCAGGAGCTTCATGTCCTCTCCATTCACGCGATCCACATGCCTGAAGTAATCAAGACATGTTCCAACAGGAGCCCAGCGGCTTCATCATCCTCCCAAAAAACACAAGTTAAAAAAAAAAAAGAGAGAAGCTTCTCGAAAACATACGAGGCACCCGTTGCTTTGGGCGTTCTTGCGCGTGCAGGGGAGACAGCTCCAGCAAAAGAAACCAAGCTGCGAGATCAACTCCACACCCTCCTTGAACTGAATCATTGCCAGAACCCATAGTGCAGGCCTCGTTTAAAGCTTCAAGTTTCAAGTTTAGGGGACACGACTGGGCACTTGAAGAATCGTCGGGCGCTGGCAGTAAGGCAGTAAGGTAGTAAAGATACAAGCCGACCCTTGGTTTCAGTCTCTGCTTGTGATACCCGGGAAAAATGCTGGGGCACGCGCTGGGCATCCAGGTCTCCTTTGCGACACGCCCAAGTTACCAAGCACAAACATCCCAAAGCCACGCAGTTCAGAAAATTGTCCACCCCGGTAGCCACTCGCAGCTGGAGCCATGCGGCTGCGGTGATGGCTTCCACAGCGTCTGTTTGTAGAGTCTCCTCGTTAGCGGTCTCTGCAAGCGCTGCAAGAACTGATGGCTTGCAAGCCAGAGGTGCTGCGATTGGCAGGCTTCGCAACGACACTTGTACTTCCGGGGCATAGGGCATGTTGTGCCAGCTCAGATTGAATCCATCGACATCTTCGGGCTTCTTGGCACGATCGTCTTTGAAGATAGACTTTCGAAAAGCGGGCCTCCCACGAAGAAGAAAGCTCTGCACCTCGGTGTCCGGTGCACATGGCTCTGCATAACGAAAACTAGAAACCTGCAAGTGCGTGGCTGCATGTCATGTCTGCCACGGCGGCCGTTGAAAAGTTTAGTGGCTCGGTAACCTGCAACCTGTCCCACATGTTGACAGACTGACTGCGACCTTGGCACCTCCTGCCTGTCCCATGCATAGTCGCAAAGGACTGTGCGCATCCGCTCCCTCAATCTCTCAGAGCGGTAGCATCCGGGTTCAACCTGTCAAGTTTCGGCGAAACTTTGTCGTCTTCTAGTCGTGCCATGTCATGCTACCATTAAAAGCGGCAAACATGCTGACTGCCACTTGTTTCAGTTCAGCTTTATGCAGTGACTGTTTCTGATTGTTGCCCCTACTCACTCTCTTTTATCTTGACTATCCCTCCACTCCACTCCACCCCCCCCTCCCTCTCTCTCTCGCTCTCTCTCGCTCTCGCTCTCGCTCTCTCTCTCTCTCTCTCTCTCTCTCTCACCCCCATTCCTTCCAAGTGCTCTCTCTCTCTCTCTCTCTCTCTCTTTCGTGAACCTGTCCTCAATATGCCAACGTTACCAGTCTGTTCAAAAGCGAGCCGGCCTCTTTCAACAAGCCACCAACCATCTCCGTGAAGATCTGCCCCTCTCCACGCAGCAGCGTCACGAGCATGCGTAAGGTCCGCCTCTCATCTGCCCGAATGTCGGCCATGACTCTTGCATTCATGTTTCCGCCCAGAAACGTGCGCAAGAACTCCTCCTCCCGGAAGTCTGCATGAGCGTTCGAAAGCATATGCAAGGTCCGCTTCTCTTCCTCCGGGAGGTCTGCATGAGTCTCCGGACTTTGATCAGGCTTCGTGCACTGCTGATCTTCCCAGATGTCTGCTTGAGTGTTCGGGAGCATGTGGCAGGTCCGCTCATCATCCTTTCGGATTTCTGATCCAGGATCCGAACTTTGACAAGGCTCCTTTCGCTTCTGATCCGCTGCGTGATGCAGAAGAAACCACATGTGGATGTCGCAATCCGGTGAGCAGAAAGCTGCCGAGAGTGCTGTGAGTCCATCGGAATCTCTGGCATTCACATCAGCTCTCGACCGTAAGAGCTCCCACGCAACATGGCTGTGCCCTGAGACAGCAGCTGCAATGAGGGGCCTGGTCCATGAGCTTTTGCCAATGGCAGCCCTTGCTCTGGGGATGAAGCCCCGGCTTCTGCCGTCGGCAGCAAGTGTTCTGTCTGGGAAAGTCTCTTGACCACTCACCAAGGCATTGGAGAGGCAAGGGTGGTCACCATCGTCCGCCAAGAGCTCCTTCACCTTCGAGATCTCTTTGAGGACAACATGTAAAGCAAAACCGTTCCTACCTTTAGGAGCCCCCACATTTCTCCAAGTCACCTGATTCAGCTCGCCACATCGTGCAGCTTCCACCAACATTTTGTCTTTCTCTTCCTTGTCGCTCTCAGCACTCGTACTCATCTGACTATTATTCTCAATGTCCTCTGCTAGGTCCGTCTTAGACAAAACTCGAAGTGCATGCATTGTCACACATTACACAGGTACTGCACGAGCAACTCGTCAATCCGAAGCCTTCGACGCCCAACAAAAAGGAGAAGAGAAGCTGAAGGGCACGAAAACTGAGAGTAGTGGGGTTGAGGCATGTTACAGGAAGAGCTATTCCCTGAAGCTTCCTCGAACAAGTACGTCACAAGCAGCCCCTAAACCTTGAATCCTAGGCCTTGATACCCCAGGCCGAACTTCGAGCTAGCCGCCTGGCTCCTGAACCCTTCCGGAGCAATCAGAGTCACATCTTCTCTTTGCTGCTCGGTCTCGTCCGGCACCCCGAAAAGAAGAATAGAAATTGCAAGAGGCGGCGAGGCCTGCACGAAAAACTGAGACTGGCGGGGTTGAGCCTGGAGGGTTTGTGAGGTCTATGGTTCCTTCTATGCACCAAGGACCCTAAACCAGGGCGTCAGGGTCATCCTAGAAAACCCTACTGGAATGCTCTCATTGTCAAGATGCCAGTAATCAGTATGCCCAGCATGAACCTGGCTACGGCGCTGAATATCTCCTTTGGCGTGCTATACGTAGCACAGGTGTGATGCCCGATCGGTGTTCTGAAACAAACTGTCCTGTGCCACGTTGAATTCCTCCAAGTCACGTCCAAGCAGTCCTCATGTTTATCCTTGTCGCCCTCAGCACTCGCGTTCTCCTGGAAATCATTCGAGCTCTTTCGCAAGGTCGGTCTCAAACCAACTCGAAATCCACACACTACTACACAGGTACCCCACTAAGCAACCCCTAAATCCTAAATCCTAAGCCTGTTAAATAACGAATCTGAAACAACCACCTGGCTCTGTAACCCCTCCGGAGCAATCAGGGTCGGGTCCTCTGTCAGCTGCCCAGCCTCTGATGCCGGCACCTTGGAGGTTTCGGTGTTGTTTTGGCTCTGTGGAGTTTGTGGTCTCCAAGATCCCCGCCACAAACCCAAATTCCGCGTCGTGAACTCCAAGAACCAGAAAAAAACTGCAATAGCGCGCGAGCCGCACGGAAAACATAGAGTAGCGGGGGTTGGGGGTGGAGAATCATAGTTCCTTCTGAGCTCTAGACTCGAAAACTGCCTACGACCCCAAACCAAGATATGTTACTCGGTGTCCTGATCGCCAAAAAATCCTCGAAATCCATCTGGCAATGCAATACCGTGGTTGTCAGCTGTGTTCCTACGATGAACGGTCAATCAGTCATAATGATGCTACGGTCAGTGTCGGCTTTAGTAGCTTCCCAGGCTTTCCCAGTGCCGCGGGCTAGGCCATTGATTGATTGCTACTACCATATCCTGAGAATGTTGACACTGACGACGATAAATGGTGGCTTTCACTGCTTGGTCAAAGAGAACCTGCCCTCACAAAGCTCAGTTTCCTCAAATGTCGGAAGCACTCGGGCATGCCTCTGTCTGCTCATCCTCGGGTGCAGCAGCTCCAGTCACTGTCGCCTCAGCTCTGGCTTGGGGGTTTCCGAAAACAGGGGACCCTATGATAGCACCCCAAATAGTAGGATCCGTATAAAAAGGACCCCAAAATTGGGTACCCCTAATTTTCGGAAACTCTAGCATATCTCTGGTCACTTGCTCTAGTACAGGACATACAGCCGCTGCTACGAACTTTCGCCAAACAGGCGTACTGTAGGCAAAATCTTCAGCTGACTGGGAGACTCACCCAGACGTCGTTCCCAATAAGACTAGCGGCAGGCAAGCTCTTTCCAGCACGCTCAGCGGAACCCTTGGCTTTGGCCTTCGCTGGAGCTGGTGCCTGCAGACCATGCAGCTTATAAAAGACCGCATTCGCTGCATCGGCAGCCGAGTAAAGCCCAACTGCACACAGGTAACTGATGTCGGTGCTGAAGGGCCCCGGCAGTGGCCTCCTTGGCAGGAGCAGCTGCTTCCGGTGCCTCCGAGCAGATTGATGCGGCGCACCCTCAAGGCAAAGTGAACTAACCCCTCAACCCCTTAACCCCTAAACCCCTAAACCCTAAACCCCTAAACCCCTAAACCCTAAACCCCTAAACCCCTAAACCGTAAACCCCTAAACCCCTAAACCCTAAACCCCTAAACCCTAAACCCCTACCCCGAAACCCTAAAACCACGCCTCCGCAGGCGCTCCGTCTGCTGCCACCACCGCAGCGGTCCGATGCCCCTTCTCTTCTACGTCCGCCGCGGCTGCCTGTTGAAAATTTCGCAAGCGATGACGTAGCTACAGCTCCACATCCTACAAAAGCAGCAACAACGACGCCCAGGGTTGACTTGAAGGATCTTGCCGTCGAAGGTTGACCATCTAACCTACTCTGCAGCAGTTCTTGTACTTTCGGTTGCCAGGTCCGGAGTTCGGGACTGGCGCCCGAAGTGTTCAGAAACGTAACGCTGGATTACAAGGCCTTTTGAAAACGGTCCGTGTGAACTCTGGGAATTGCTGAGGATGCGAGCATGCAGAGGTTCCGGACAGAAAACCTCTGGCAAAAACCTAGTATATGCTGCCGGGCAACGTCTGTTTTTGCTGAGCGCGTCGTGCTCTTGCCCTGCAACAGACAGGGCCGTTAAGGCGACACTCCAAACGCCCAAGTTGCCACGTGAGTTGCCCCCTCTCCGAAACCCAATGAATCGAGAAAGTTCGAGCACGCCAATCTCGACAAAGGGGCACCAGGGATGGGAGTGTACCCGATTCTTCTGAATCAGGGGATCGCTCTACACAAACTCGGAACGCCACATATTGAAACCCTAACCCTACACTCCTGGACACATCCTGCACCCTAGAGTGCCCTAGAGCGCCCAGGCCGGCGCTGCGTGACCCGTAGTCGTACAACGTGAAACCTTTCTTCTGGAGAATGCTCTTTGTCAGGGCACCCTTTTATGGCTTCATCACAGCATGGTGCAGTATCCAGCAATCGCCCACAAGCGTTGGAGAAAAGACGCAAAACCGTGTGGGTTCTTGCTGCCCCGTTTTAAGAAAGTTGGCCGAAGCTACTTACAATAATATGTCCCAATTGCGGCCACATGAAGAAGCTCCTCAACAAAAACCTAAAGAGAAAGACAACACATGATGACCCTATCTAACTCTAACTCCCTTATAAAACCGTACACACATGTCACTGAACCCTAAACCCTCAAAAGCGAACTTCTGGCATAACATACCCGGTAACTATGTAACCCTATTCTACTTGTGAAGGCCACTACATGAGACCTCCGGCCTTCTGGAAACCCTAAACCCTAAACTCTGATAAGCGCGAACTTCTGGTCCCCAAACCCCCAAAACCCTTCCAAACCCTAAACCCCCACACCCCTAACCCCTAAACCCCTACACCCCTGACCCCTAAACCCCTAAACCCCTAAACCCCTAAACCCCTAAACCCCTAAACCCCCAACCCCTAAATCCTAAACCCTCATCCCTGGCCTTCTTGGCCTTCGTCTTCGGCCTTGCGCCCTGCGGCTGTGTCGAGGGCTCCTCGGCCGGCGGAGCGCCGGAGGTCTCCTCCGAAAAAGGGCTCGCGGCGTCGGCCTCGGGTTTAGGAGGTGTAGGGTTTAGGGTTTAGGGGTTTCCGGGTTTAGGGTTTAGGGGTTTCCGGGTTTGGGGTTCCCGGGTTTAGGGTTTAGGGTTTCCGGGTTAAGGTTTCCAGGCGCAGGTTTTGGGTTTCAGGGTTCAGGGTTTAGGCTGCTTTGGTTTAGAGCTTGTGGTTTAGGCTTTAGGGTTGAGGGTTTAGCATGGTAGGGCTCAAGGTTCGGGTGTTAGGGATCAGGAGTTTAGACCTGGTTCAAAGGTCGCTAGGATTCAGGGCAGGGGTGTAGTTTCTCCAGTCACAACATCGGACGTCCTGCTGGCATGTCGCAAAGTTAGGGCTTGAGGGTTGCAAAGTTGGAAAAGAAACACAACTAAGATGCCCAGTAACCTAGGAAGAAAAAGGGCCCCTTTTTGGTCTTGGGTAGCTTTATATGGAGCCTGGGACTACAAAAAGTGAAAAAGGGCCCCAAAGGGAGGCCTCGAAAAGGTGTTGGGACTGCGAGTTTCTGCTCTTCGGATTTGCGGCCCGCAAACTTGGGGCTTTCAACCGTCGAACCTGACGAATGTGGCAGATGCTCCTGCAGTGCTGTGCGAGCCATGCTGTGCCAACATCTCTCACAGTCAGGGCACGGCCAAGAAGTCTCGAAACCTGATGCTAAGACCGGGGAACCAAAGGTTCAACATCAGAGGCATGGCCCAAGAAAGCTCAAGAACCTGCAGTGCATCTTGCAGCCACTGGACCTCGCTCATCGGGCGAGGCGCGGGAAGGCTTGAGGCTTGCGTTGGACAAAACGTCCAGATTACGATGCACTAACTGATGCGGAGGAAAAAGTCGCGGAACGAGCATGGCACCAAATCAACAACCAGCTTGCTGTCATCGTTGGGAAGCTACCGTCGTTTTCTCGTGCCCAATGCTAAACAAGTTTCAGGCATCTGGAGTTCCGGTCGAGACAAGCATCCGAGCTGAGCTGAAACATGAAGGTCCAAAACTGAACTTTCGAGGTCGAGGGGCCCAAGATTCTGGAAGCATTAGAAGCATTGCTTAATCTCACGGCTTCTGCTGTGGAACACTCAATTTCACAAACCGCCGTTTCAGACCACTCTCCCCTAGGCCGGAGAGTGACCACGGATGTTGCACGGTTCAAGGGCTTAAGGTTTAGGGTACGTCATCCTCATACATCACAGACAAACGACGAAAGCATGAAATTGTTGCTGTAAGGTTGAAGCCTTTCCTGGAGCTCCTCTCTACTTGTCACCTCCAATACGAAAACGCTTCAAGCAAAAGCCTAAAACCAAGCATCGTCGAACTCTCATGAAACGCTTGAAAGAGCCATTATGAAACAGTAGTTACAATAGTTATAAAAGCCCCTACGGAACTTCTGGAAACTCTGTAAGGTAACGTCCCCCCGGTTTGGGCTTCCGGAGGGAACCTGGGCTCCTTCTAGGCTTCTTCTGCGCTCTTTCTCGGTAGCGTGGTTGAAGGGAGCTCTGAACTTCCTGGGAGAACCGAAGAACTCGGTGGAGGGCCGTGACGCCTTTTTTTTCCGATCGCGAGGCTTACGGAAGCCGCCTTCAGGATTCAACACCGCTACAACCGGACACTGCCTTGGGCAGGCCCAGTGGCAAAGGCAAAATCCGGAGAGCACCGCCGCTGCTGCATGGTGCTTCGTGGCGAGAGAAGCCGACAAGAACATCGGAAAAGTAATAACAATAATAACAACATTCAGTGCAGTATGCCCTACATTCCTACATCCAAGCAAGGAAGCATCAGAACGCTCGCATGCCGGAAAATCTGCCGGGTGAAGGTGGCAGAGTCAGAGGCACCGTGGGAGCAGCTTCGGGTTGCATGCGGTGGGGAAGGCTAGGGCTTAGCCCCCGCAATCCTAGGAATCAAACATCCGACAAAGCAGCAGCGAAACGCCGCAATGCGAAGCGAGGTAACTCCCCAAGGAGTCGGGGCCTTGCTGTCGGACCAGTGGTAAGGGGGGCTTCAGGGACATCGGTCTTCTGTTCCCAGGAACCACGATCACGCTGACCAAAAAGCGTATTTTCTTCATACACCTTGATTTACTGGTTGATGTGGGTGCTGACAGCACTGCCCTTTTTCAGAGCGCCTCCTTAGGCGCCCACTCAACACCCCGCTTCCGGGCTCTTTTTGGGGGTGTTCCCCCCATGTCCAGCTTTCCACAAGGTGAAAAGGATTTACAACGGGCTCTCTTCAGAGGTGTTCCCTCCAAGTCTAGCCTTCAATGAAAACCGAAAAGATTTTCATTGACGCCACGAAGCAGAAGCCAAGGACAGCTTAGACTCATGATAACTTGCAGGCTTAGTGTCCCCGCAATTCTGATACCCGCGAAGGTTCAAAAGATGGGATGTGGCTTCTGCTTCGTGGCCCAGGTCTCGGCTCCTGCTGAACAGGAGCCGGGAACGGACATGAACATGGCCATCAGTCGCTCAGCCAAGACCTGCGCAGCTCCCACACTGGGAGAGAGGCCGCAGGGCCCAGGGAAGCAGTGGAAACCTAAACACTCGAAGGCCCAGACCTCGCAGGCAAAGGGAGCCCCTGACATCCTGAAACTCTAAAGGTCTAAAGGCTATGAAGTGCTTGTCGCAAAAGTTTGGGATCTAGGGTGTATTGTTGCTGTTCTTTGGTCTGGGACTCAGGGCGCCGGGCAGGGGGCAAGGGCCCGTATGCCAAGCAACCTTCATGGCTCTAGTGATTACCTGAGGGACTCTGCTGTCAGAGCTTTTGCCCCGAAACAATAAGTTTTGGAATGCTAAAGCACAGTCATGCCCCAGTTCGGAGCAAACTACCTCATGGAAGGTTCTAGGATTCAAGATGTGAGGCGTTCGAGGCATCGGGGATGTTTCCCAAAAATCTAAATCCACACATTGTACTAAACGCTTCATGACATCGGACCTCAGACGGGGTTATGGAGGTTTAGGGTCTCGACTCGATTCGGCTCCGCCCCGCCCCCCCCCCACCAGAGCTTAGATTCCCAAACACGTTTGGGTATGTGGGCCGGGATTTTGGCTAGACGCGAAACAGCAGCTTCGGCATACAATGCATGAAGACATCAGCTTCTATCATATCTGCCCAACATGGCGGCCCGCACACCAGTGGCACTATGGTATCATGCTAGGGTTGCTCTGCATTAGCCCAGCAGGAATCACTGGCGTGGCAAAACTTTCACAGTATGTACCTCGAAGGAAACCACAACTCAGAACAATTTGCCATACCTTCACTGTCTGCGAACCGTTCCAATGCAGGACACTCCAAACCAAGACTCCTCGCGAGACATCGGGTATTTCTAGAATACACCCCATTGGTGCAGATCATGAAGGTTCTACAAGTGAACGCTGCTAAATTATTACTACTTCCGGAAACCCCTAAAAGCACTCGGAAAGTATCCCGAATTCCAAGAATCTGGAACTTCAACCCTCAGTCAAGGACCCTAAGCCCAAAACCATGGTTCTAAATTCATAAACCCTGTCTGACGTTCAACGCCTCCTTACTGGGCCTTCTTCACGCGTTGACCGCGGAACCTGGTCGTGGGGCTTGGATTTTTTCGGTTGGGATGTCATGAGTTCAGGAATTTGGCTTCGGAACTTGTTGGTCCTCCATAGAGGGGTAAATGGATGTTGGGATTTCGAGGTTGATATCACTCAGCGTACTATCAGTGCTAATGGTTGCGGGTCTTCTATGCAAATCATGCGTCTCGCGATGTCCGCTCTGCACCTGGAACCACGAGACCCAGACCACACGCCAAAAACTGAGACACCCTAATACCTCTCTTGCAACCGGATAGAAACTGCTGTTGGGCTCAAGCACGCACCAATTGATGCGGCCTGCAGCAGTCGGTCGATCTTTTTATCGATGTTGTCAATCCTCGCCTGCACCGCTGGTTGTAGATTGCTGAGGAAATGAGATCAAAACCAGCTCCAAAGCGCGAGACCCTGAACCGAATCCCAAGGCCAAGCCCGTCCCCGAAGCTACTGATGAAACCATGAAGCGCTGACCCACCGCCCAGCCACTCAGAAATGTGCCTGCGGTACCCCGAAACAAAGAACCCGTACTTAAACTCCAGGCTAATGGGGACGGTCCTTCTGTTCTTCGTGCTGCTTCTGCAACTTTGCTTCCAGAAGTTGCATCTTGTCCTCTGCCACACTGCAAAGGTTGTAGATTGCAGATTCAGGGTAGAGGGGCTCCGGGCGCCGGTTGTCAGATATTGGGTTCGACATTTACTCTCAGAACAGGTTGCTAGCACTCTACGTCCGGAACTCGGGTTACAGGCTTTGCTGTGTTCGGTAGTGCTGCATGCCTCTACTGGGCTACTGCCACAAGCGCCAGTGAATACAACAAACGATTTGAATGCCGCCCCCCAGTCACTGCATGTGCAAGCCCGTGCAAGCCCGTCCCTGTGGCAGCAAGACCGTGTTGCTGATCTCACTTGCAGAGGCGAAAGTCGTGTGACCAGAGTTGACCTCATACTGGCTACGACAGCCACCTTCCAAACACAGGAGTTTGTGACCTAACCTATCAAAGAACATTTGGTGCGTGTATTGGGCGGTGTAAATGACTGAATGCCGCGGTCCACTTCGTTGCCAGCCTTGTTGATAGTGTTGGGTAGAAGGAAAATTGCAAAGATCTTGAACCAGGCTGCACAAGCTTTTTTCTTGGAGGACATCATCAATTTCCTCAGGCCCTTTCGGTCCAGCGCTCTCCCGGTTCTCTTTCTTGATGCCGGTTAACGTACTTACCTCGAACATCCCCACCCCAGAAGATGGCGATTGGTGGGATACTCTGCTAGATAACTGCATGGGATACATTGTGGCTAACTTGATGGGCAAGGAAGCCCGAGGAGAGGACAATAGCAGGCAGTCAGTCATCATGAATATCAGAATCTATTCTTGGAGTAGGCACTTCAGGCATGCTCTGCTGGACGCTTTGGGTGGGCACCGATGGAATTGTCTGCGAGAGACTCCTGGTAAGAGCGCTCCACAAAATGCTCTGCGGCATACTCTTGGGGTGAACTGTAGACAGAGTCTCTCAGCACGTGGAGAGTGGGAGGTCATCCTCTGCTTTTACGTTCCCACAACCTGCTGACTTCCTAGCTTCTCAACCTGAGCCCAGGAAAATGAAGCCGTAAAGTGAAAGCGTGGAAAGAAGGTCCTTCTGCTCTTCGTGGAGACTTTGCATCTTGTCCTCTTCCGAACTGGAAATTCGTTGAGTGTTTCTTTTAAGATCTAGCGCCTAGGGTTTGGGCGTTCAAGGTCTGAGGTTCGGGAATCAGCCATGCCCCAATCCCAGAACCAGTTGTTAGCACTCAAGCTGAGCTTTGGGCTGCAGGGTAGTTGTGGTTTGGTAGCAAGACCTCATTCCTACAAAGTGAATTTTCTTTTGGCGAGAGGAGGCCTTGCCTTTGCCATGACAGAAACCCAGGGCTTTCAGACCCAATCAGTGCCAGACCGTTTGGTTCGTAAATACCCATGGTAGTCTCCTCAGACACGTTTTGTCCATCGTTCTCCGGGTGCCACCGGCCGCGTTTTCGCTCTCCAGAAAGCAGGTCTCTCTGTGGTTCTTCGTTTACTGCCCATGCTAAACCACCCCTGGTTTCTCTTAGCTGGTGCACAAAAAGTGATCTCCTGGTCCTGCCGGCCTTTCGCGACCCAGAACCAGACACGTTCGGGATCAATGCTTGAACGGCAGCACGCCCCCGAAACCGCAAATCCGCTGTGAGTGTTACTACGGAGCTGAGTTCAAGCTATCGTAATAAGGAACAAGGGTACATGGCGTCACCTCCTTACGGTAGCCTAAACTTGGTAAGAAGGCACCCAAAAAGAAGCCCAGTCTAGAAGTGACACAAAGACAATGTTGCACCCTCGCACTACCTGTCCTTACCGGACAGCTTCACTCTGACCACACCGCGGCTGGACGGACCACCCAAACCCAAAAAAGGAATGGCATTGCGAAACCCCGAAATATTTCCGGTGCAGACTTCCCAAATAAGCCGTTTCAAACCCTGATTGAAATCCGAACTTCAGTTCGATTCCTGTGGATTCCCGTACAGACTGCGTCCAGGTACAGTGTATGGTTGAATGTTCTGGGTTGAAGCTTCAGGGTGTGAGACTGTTGAGTGTTGAGGGCAGGAGACAAGGATAGCAGATTCCGTCAATGTTGGCTGCAACAAATAGTTCCCAGATTCACACCTGCGTACTTAGCGTAAGCACTGCAGAACCGAAGGACGAACCACGCCCGGTAGATTTACCACCTGTGGAAAACTTATATACTCTTATTTCCGAGGCGGCAGCAATTCCTGCATACGAGTGCGCAGGGAAGTAGCAGGATCTCTGCAAAGTGTAATGACAATGTCTCTCAAGTCCTTTAGGTCGTTACGCATGCTTCGCAGATCGTCCGACGCGGCGTCCTTCCAGGCCAACGTGAACTGAAGGACTTAAGAGGCTGAAGATCGTCAATTCCAAGAATACGCCTCTAGTTGCTTTGGTTCTCACTCCAAGTTTAGGGATTAAGCTTTCAAGTTTTGGCCCCCTCGTATCTTTAAGGTTTAAGATTTGAGGTGTCAGGGCTTGAAGGTTGGGATCGGCTCCAAGGTTAGAGGGTTTAGAGTTGGGCAGGTGGAGCCACCCATTTGAACTAAACCTACACTCTAGCTAAGTTTAGAGCTTGTTGATGTGTCTCACGATTGAAAATGTGGAGGTCTCTCAGCCCTTTCCCACATAACCCCAATCATTGCAGCATAGGCTCCGTCCGGACCAATGCAAAAATCTCGCACTCCTCGGCGAAGCGATCTCCAAACAAGCCGAAGAAGCTGCTATTGATCGTGTAGCGAATGCCTTCCAGGGCTATGAGACTCAATGATATCTACAAGTAGCCTGCATGGCTTACACAATTTCCCATCGGACCAGTAAAGCCGATGGCGCCCATGAGCACATAAATCAGCAGGCCCATGAAGGACGTGAGGAGCAAAACCAGACAGACGATGAGGATGCCAAAGCGCAACAGGGGGTGCTTCGAGACAGGGCAGAGAACACGCCACACCTTCTGCATGAATCGATCAAAGATATCCTTCTGGTAATGAGCCCGCTGACGACGGAAAGCAGGCTCCATGACCATCTTGAGAGGGCTCAGTGCTATAAGCAGCCAGTTAGGTTCAGGGTGCGGAGGCTCAGGAGCTCTGTCCAAGAAATGGCGTCTGAGCCAACTGCTCAGCATCATCCAAGGCCTCTGCTGCACCTCTGTGTATGTCTTCTTTATGAAAACCATGACACTTACAACAGCCGCGACTATCATCATCACGAATTTCATGGTTATGGAATCATGGAGCTTTTCTCGGTGAGCGCTTACTTGGAATCACCGTCCCTGACCTCCAGAAAACCCTCGACGCTGAACCCCAAGACTCTCAACCGTCTTAACCCTCAACCACCACACGAAACCCGGCACCCGAAACCCATCTCGCACCTCCAGCAGCATACGTGCACGGGCCTGCATGAAGAGCACCTGCGCCCGACCCTGGTGCATCTCGTAGTTCTGGCCTAGGATGGCAATCAGCCTTACTTGCTGAGTTCAGCGTTCAGGGTTTTCATGTGGGGCTTAGGATTTACGGACTTAGGCTGTAGGGGTTTGGGCTTTGGGTGTGAACCGCTGGAAAATAGATGAGCCGTTCGTGTGGTAAAGTTCGCTGACCTGGACTTCCTTTTGAGGGGAAGCTTTCGTTCTGTTGTAAACAAGAGGAATAAACGATGCCTATTCCACACCAGAGTAGCAGGTTCATGAGCAGCACCGTAATGCCGATCCCCGTGCAGAAGAAGCACAGCTGCAGGCTGATGTAAGGCCCGTAGAGTCCGTAGAGAATGTCTCGGTACCATCCCAAATCTGTCGGGCTGGGGTCATTCGGCACCCACTCGTTTTCCACAAGCTGAAAGGTGGTGTCCTGGCCCTGGTACTCAAACATGTCAAAATCTCCGAAAATGGCCAATCGAACCGTGTGCAGGAAGGAAGAGTATATGGGGTATTCGTCCTCGCCTCGGGGTTCATATTCGGATTTCCGGGCTAAGGGCTGACAACAACACAGACACAAAGCCGTTGAATGAATCAATTTACCCCTAACCCTATATGACCATACCTTAACCCGTAACATGACAGATCTCTCTGCAGGCCTGTCGTAACCTAAAGACTATTCCTTACGCCGCCTCTGGGGTTCATGATCACGTAAGCATGGGTCGCACCGGCGATACAAAGGGAGGTGACGAAGAAGAACGGCCCGGTGTCTCGGACGGCTGAAATAATCGGTAGGAGGTAGGGCCCCAGCCAGCGCTCTCCATGAAGGCTGTACCTGCAGTCCAAATACCTGCAACTTTAAGCTCCCTTCAGATGAGGCCCTCACGTTAAAACAAGACGACTTTTGGGCTGAAGGGACACGAGTCGGAGCCAGTACATCGAGCAAAAGAGTGGCAGCAACACCGGTTCCAACTCCTTCTTATCGCAGAGAATCATCTGGTCACGGATAGCAAAGATGCCTGGGATGCTCTTAAGTAACTGACAGTTTGGGTCGGGGTTTAAGTTTCAGGCTGGCCATAGTATCGCACACCATGTCAGCTTCTTGCTAGGAAACTTGATGTAGGCTATAACCAAGAGAGTATATCGTAAGTCTTTCATGCCTGTTTGATCATGGTAATTTGAGGATATCCGTCACAAAAGCCAAGGAGCCGACCACACAGAAAAGCGCACCCAAGATACTGTCAAGTCCAAGAAAAGGACGAGCAAGGAATGCATGCTCATCATTCAGCACTGGTATGTCTTTTCCGCCAATCTTCTCATGCCTGGATTCATCAGGACACCTTTCAACGATCAGGAGCCTAACTCAATCGGCCTCCAAAGAAAACATGCAAAAATGTCTTGTTCAAGAATCTCGAAGACACCGGTTTTGTTCCCCGTTTCTGGCACTGGAACACATACGAGACATGAGATGCAGACCCCATTGCCAATAGAATTCCACAAATTCCTTGAAGAGAATGGCTTCCAAGACCCACAGCGCCAGCCTCGAGTCGCGACTTATGCACTGAGGACACAAGCCGAGCCTCAAGCCGAGCCTATAGTTTCCTGCACACCTGCGTAGTGCTCCGAAAAGTTACTAGAGGTGGGTCTGTCAGCTCCCTTGCATTTAGCGCAAGTTCTGCGATCGGTGGAATAACAATCATAGGCAGCTGTGAACTTGGGCAAACTTGCTGGGGCACCAGCTGGGCATGCATGCCGCCGTAACGGCAAGCCAAAGTCACCAAACACAAACATCCCACAGCCACGCAGTTCAGACAGATGTCCACCACGATGGGAAGCCGCAACTGGAGCCATGCCGCTGCGGTGATGACTTCCACGGCATCTGTTTGTAATGTCTCTTCGTTTTGTGTCTGTTCCAAAGCCTGAAGCACCGAGGGCGTGCACGCCAGAGGTGCTGCGAGTGGTATGCGGTGCAACCTTACTTGCACTTCCCGGAGAACGAAGAGTTGTCTCTGAGTGCTGTGCCACCTCAAAGCGAAAGCATCAACCTCCTCGGCCTTCAGTTGATCCTTCTCAACAAAGAGTTTCATTTCTTCGTTCTCGACAAAGCGTTGCACCTCAGTTTCCGGAGCAAGACGGGTATGTCTAAAAACTACATGCACTAGTGCTAGAAACCAGACGGTGTGTTCCGTTATGTCAAACATCGCCGTTGAAAGAGTAGTGGCTTTGTAACTTGCATCATGCCCCGCATGCAGCAAGTGACAGACTGACTGCGTGCTTGGCACACGCTCCCTATCCCATGCATAATCGCAAAGGACCGTGTGGATGGGTTCCGTCAATTTCTCCCATCGAAGCTTTGCCATGTCTACCTGCCCATTTCAATCAAGATGCAAGATGCAAACGCCACTTTTCCAAAGCCCACGTATGTGTGCGCGCCATGAGACGCTGCTGCTTTGCTGTAGCTGCTACTCATTGCCGTGCGCTTCTGCTCTACTCCGTGTTTGCTCCCGGTACACGTTCTCGCCCACTCTAGCTAATCTCTCTTTCTCCCGCTCTCCCGCTCTCCCGCTCTCTCTCTGCCCTTTGCTTTGCTCGGGGCTAATGATACGACGCGGTCGGAACCAAGTGAACAATTTGACTGTGCCAGGGCTGCCTATCCGGAGCTGCGTCTAAAGTTGGCTAGGCTTGGGCTCTGGCTCTCGCTCTCTCTCTCTCTCTCTCTCCCTCTCTGTTAAATGACACGAGCCCAATGTGCACCCGAATGTTCTTGATGCATGAGAGAATGCTACGATGCCGAATGGCGTTGGCTCAAGACTGGACTGTGGCTGGCTGTCATAAAGGAATGTCTGCTTGAGTGTGACTGGGGAAGGTGATTGATCTTGGGTTACTCCCTAGGACTGATTTGTACTTCATGGTAGCGGAGCTTCGGCTCTGGAATCAGGGACTGAGACAGAATGGAGTTTGGAACCAGAGGGATTGGCGGAGAGATCAAACTGTTCCCGCCCCCAGTGTACCACGGAGAGTTGGAGAAATGGGAAGATTGGTCGTGGCAGTTGAAGCGATATGTCGGATTGTACAAACCACTGGCAAAACTGTTAACGGATGGTGTGGAAGGATCGAAAGTTGCCATCACTGATGATCTGTGTGAGGCATTCAATGTGCAGCAGAATCACACCCAGAATGATCAGCTTTCACTGTTCTCTAGACAACTGGCGTATATGCATGCGCAACTCACTGATGGCGCTGCGCGAGCGATTGTGCACAAAGAATGGGTTTAATATTTGGAGGCGATTGCATAGTCAGTTTTCACTGCCGGAAAGAGCCCGCTCGACGAATCTCTTGAACGAGATCATTGGCTCCCGATTGAGAGGAGACCACTTGGAGAGTGATTTGAGTGAGTTCATCATACTGAAGAACAGACATGAGAAGACGACCGGAAGACCGCTCGACAATGACCTGCTTGTCGCGTTGCTAATGCAGAAGACTGTCGGTCCTTTGCAGCGGCATCTGAGGTTGAATGTTCGGAATATCAATACGTTCATCAATGAAGCACTGGAAATTATATACAGCTACATCAAGAGCAGACGCCTGACTGTCCCGAGCGGTAGGAATGACCACCATGGTCCAGCAGACATGGATATAGGAACATTGGACGGAAGAAAAGGAATGAAAGGAAAAGGCTACAAAGGAGGAAAAGGAATGAGAGGATTCAAAGGCAAAGGATGCAAGGGCAAAGGAATGTACAAAGGATACAAGGGCAAAGGAAAGAGCAAAGGAAAAGGAAAAGGACAAGGAATGAAAGGAAAAGGAAAAGGACAAGGATGTTTTCTGCGTGGTGATCCAAACCACTGGAGCAAAGAATGCCCGAAATGAAAAGATAAAATGTCAGCCGTGACCGAAGATGAGCAAGGAAACGGAATGGAATGGCAAGATGATTGGAATCAGTGGTATCAGGATGACTGGTCATATGATGATTGGTCCTGATTGGAATGGTGAGTGGATTGGTTCTCTCGATGATTGGTCCGGTGACTGGTCTTGGTACGAGGACGATTGGAGTTCTTGGCCTGAGGACTGGTCCTGGAACACTCACGAATGGTGGAGCCCGGCGGAGAATCAGCCGCAGAGCTCGAATGGTGCCGCGAGCTCAGGTTCGAATGTCCCTCAGGACGCCGCCAAGAATGAACCACCACCGAATGTGTCAGCTGCGACTGTTGATTCGTCGGATCAAAGTGCACCCAGAAATGCTAGAACTGTTCGGGGAACCAAACCTGGACTGATGACGAACTTGTTCGTTGGAGCGTGCTTGCTGATTGGTGCATTGAGTTCCGGAGTGCCACCAATGCCGAACCAGAGTGTACCAACCTTGAAGAAATTGCCCGAAAATGATCCGAATGCTTTCGACGACAGCTTGGTTGAGCTTCACATGCAAGCTGGGTTGGTCGACAAAGCATGGATATTGTTCGACAGTGGAGCTTGCGCGAATTGTTGTCCGGAATGGTTCGCGCCGGACTACCCGACTCTGCCGCTGAATGAGAGTGCACCTTCACTGCGAAGTTTGTCAGGAAAGACACTGGATGTGCAAGGCAGGAAGATTGTGCAACTTGACTGCAGTAATGGTCACTCACTGAGTGTCCAATTCTATTTGTGCACTGGCATACCGTTCCCACTGGTCAGTGTTGCCCGACTGTTGTTGCAAGATTTCTGGACTGGCGTTGATTGACCCGACTGGAAATCCTGTTCCGATTGTGCGACAAGGGACGTTGGTGTGTTTGACGCCGACTGTGATTCCTTGCGAAGTTACGAATGCGGCAAGATTGGCAGCAATGTGCTTGCTGGAGCTAATGTCGGGGATTGAAGAAGAACTTGGCGCCTTGGAGTTGCGTGGTGTGTCGGATGTGCATGACTGTTCGATTGACCACATCTGCCAGATTGGTGCCTTGATTGCTTCAGCTCAAGGAATGAGAGCTTCCGAGGGTGGAAAACAAGACACCTGGGAAGTGAATGAAACTGAGTTGAAGTTGATTCGCCATGTGAAGGTCTGGAGGAATGAAATGTTGGGCCCTCGGATTACACTGGCAAACCGAATGCCGGTACCTGTGTTTCGCCTGACTGGCGAAAGAATGACGCACAAGGTTTACCGAGATACTGTCAGAGATGCCAATTTCCTGACAATGACGAATTCCAGGCCGCGTGATGAAAGAAATTGGCGAGGACGAGTGGAATTTGGACTGACGCACAAACCACAGCGCAGGCATGCGCAAAAGAGTGCGCCACGTCCTCATGATCCGACGGTCGGCCGAATGCCTCAACCGGCGAATGCTGACCTTGCCGAAATGGAGCAGACTGAAGACAATGTTCCGAAAGCCCGAGCCAAGACTGACGAAGAGCCACAAGAATTGGGTCGCAAAGTGCGTGTGAGTCGGAATGTTGAGGAGCATGAGCTTGAGAATGCGCTGCGGTCACTGCCCCAACATGGAGATAAAATGAAGGAGTTGTTGTTGCAACTGTTCAATCTCGAGGATCCTGAGACTGCATTGCTACTTCCATCCGGACGATGCCACTTCGCCCGTTGATGGATTGTTGAGTGATCAACTGTGGGGTGACAGGTACACAATGTTCTTTGACTCGAGTGATCCCACAATGATTGACACTGGTCATCATAATGAACGGGCAGATATCGAACGGCCTGATGGATCAGTGAAGAAGTGCGGGGATGCACGGAGCACAAGTGGACTGGATACACGTTGTTTGTGCCACTGGATCGCCCTACTGCTGGTGAGAATGCCGAGCTGGAGACTGAGGACAGGAGTGCATTGAGCCGAAAATGCTGAAGGTCCCTGGAGAACCATCGGAGAATGAACGGCGGTTGCACGAACCATCTCCCTTATCGGGATTGGTGCGAGCACTGCGTGAAGTCGAAAGGAAGACAAAGTCACGCAGCGAAGAAGAAGAATGACCGAAAACCAGTGATCCAGTTTGATTTCTCTTTTATGTCGACTGAGAATGACCTTCCGAAGCGCGCTGTCTTGAATGCCACAGATGTCCAGACTGGATATTCAATGGCTGTGGTACTCCTTCGAAAGGAAGTGTCGAGAAATACGGAGTTGCCGAATTGAGGAAATTTGGTTTGAGATTGGCCGTACGTTTGGGATTGTCCAATATGACAAAGATGCGCCACTGAAATCAATGGCGCGTGACCTCTGCAAGGTCATTGGAGGACTGTCCATGAGAGCCGCACCGACTGGGCACTCCCAAAGGCAGGGAAGTGTTGGGAATGCTCAGCGGACTCTATATGGCCAATTGAGGACACTGTTGTCTCAACTGGAGGAGTCGACTGGCGTAAAAGTGAGTTCGGAATCGCCACTGTTCACATGGAGTGTGAAGCATGCTCAATGGCTTATCAACCGATACGTGATTGGAGCTGACGGCAAGACTGCCTACAGCCGTCGGTGGGGTCGTGAATACAATGGCGCGTTGTGCATGTTTTGCGAACTGATTGACGCTAAGGTGCCTGTGAGTGGAAAAATGCGTGTTCCCAAAGCTGGATCCCTTGGAAGGGACACTGAGGCCGATGAGGTTGTTCTTGAGAATGCCAATGGAGTCTTCAAGGTCAGGACTGTGAAGCGAAGATCACCTTCTCAACAATGGAATGCATCGTATGTCATAAAAATAACCTCCACACCTTGGCAGCCGAGTGGAATGGAGTTGGAGTGAAAGGCAGAGTGAAGCCTCCTCCTGGACTGGAGATTGTTGAGGAAGAAGCTGAAGGGAATGTTGAGGTTGAAGACATGGTGCCTGTCAGAGTGAGAGTGTCACTGAGCAGGATCTGTTGCTTCAAGATGGCAATGACAGATCCGCTGCTGAAATGGATCATGACGCACCTGAGGCGACTGGAGCGCCGCTCAGAAAGAGCGCAAGGATTGATCCAGATGCACCTGTGATTGAGCCGTCGACGAAGCAAATGAGGATTTCTGCCGTGCATCACATGATAGCCGGAGTGATCCCTGCTTGCAAATGGCTTGCGTCGATTGTTGGAGTTGACGAAGTTGTTGGCAAGGATGGAATGAAGATTCATGTAGAGGTGAACGCGAGGAAGGCGAACTCGACCAAGAAATGCGACTCTCTGAACCACTGCTGTGGGAGAGTGAGTTTCCGCCTGAGGCCGAAAAGAAAGGAATGATGAAGGAGATGAATTCAATGAAGAATTTCGATGTGTATGATGAACTGAAGGTTGATGACTGCACACAAGAGCAGATTGATGGTGCCCTTGACTGTCGATGGGTCAAGGTCTGGAAGAGTGAATAAGAACTGCGGTGCAGAGTGGTTGTGAGAGGTTGTTTCCAGAATGTCGAGAAGAGTGAAGGGGACA